TCTCCAAGCTTTCATTGACAGTCACAGTGAAGAAATTATTCCCTCCCCTAGCAACTAGCTAAACTTTGAAACCATCTCTCTGTGCCCTGTAAAATAAACATTCCCAGGAAGCAACTTTTCCTCCAAGGTCCTTATCTGGCAAGGAGCCACCTAGAGAGTGATTGTTGAAATGTGAAAATTATTTGAATGGGAAAGGTGGAATAGCACTCTCTGAGTTTGCACTCTGTCAGTAGGCTTTAATTGATAAATAATAGTTTTAGCCACAGACTGAGGTGTTAAGTAATTTTGTTTATGTGGTAGAAAGTCATGAAGCACAAAGAAGCTATTAGTAAAGCCTGGATGACTTGAGTTTCATTTAACAAAATAGCCAAACAGATGTTCTTTCAAGGTTCAGTGTTCTCAAACACAGATACACTACTCACACTCCAAGTACCCCAAAGCATTTTCACAGGAAGTTGTTTTCTTTATGACCTAATTTAAGTGGTAGCAACATTTTTTAAGGGAGAAATTGGTACAAGAATAACACTAAAAAACAGGCTTTTCAGAATGTAGTATCATTTACACAGTAGCTTTATGTTATAGTTGAATTTTGCATTTTTGTAAATGATTTTGTGATTAAGATTTGTCTCATGTGATTGAACCATTTTTAGATAATTGAGTAGATGAATGGATTATTTTAGTTGTTTTCTGTACCACATAGTTTTCCATGCACAACATTGTCATAGATTATAGCTTGTTGAGAGAAAGCAAGAAAGTGAGATGAAAATCATTCTAATTCCAATCATATTTTTCTTAGCAGAAGTTTTCTTTGAAGCAAAAGCCATAACCATTTGCTAGCATATTCCAGGTATCCAGGGTGTACCACAGAGCACTGAACAGAGGAAACAAAAAATAATATGGTGGCAACAGCACATACCTTTCATTAAATCGTGTGCCTTTTTACCAAGTGGTGTCCCAGTCAAGTTGCTTGGCCAGTTTTCCAGTTTCTTACCAGATTATCCAATGGGCACTTTTCTTTAAAAGTAAAGTACAGTCAATCCAGTATAATATTCAGTGTCATATAATACAAACATCATAAATATGGATATTTTAAATCTGTAATCATCTCAGATGATAAGAACAGCTTTTCATACAGACATTAATGATGCATCTTGTCTATGATATTTTTCCAATCTGTAAGAAATGGACCCTAGGAATGTGCAATTGCACAGTGTCTCTGGCTTGAACTGCACTGAAAGAATAATGAAGACTATTACTGATGGTCTTGCAAGCTTTGAAAATTAATGATGCTACCATTTGCCAAAAGGTTCTTTTCCCATTATGTATGTCAGCTTCATTTCTAAATGTGTCTCACAATTGAGTCAAGGGTTTTAAGTAAATATGAGAAATTAGTTTCTGTTATAATTTGAATCACTGAGAAAACCTCTTACTATCTCGGAAGGAAGGTTGGGCAATCCTACTTCCGCAGTGATACTGCCTCGGAAACCCAAGGAGGGGTTGCTATGAGTCGGGGCCAACTGACAGCACACAACAACAACAACAACAAAGATAATATATAAAGCAAGAAGACTTTTTTCAAAGTTAGTGGGAAGCCCTTAGGGTCATTGCTCTGTCTCTAAGTGTGGAGTCCTGGTTTCTCACACTTTTGAACTTGGATGAAAAGTTTGCATGGGGACTAGACAAGCACTATAACTGAACTATCTGAGGGAATTATCCATTATGAGATCACATCATATGTACATTTAAGTCTGTAAGTTAGTATAGAGAGGAGGAAATTGGGGAGGCGTGGGTCTTCACACTCAAAAAGGCTCTCTTTGCTGTCCTCCAGCTGCATCCTTCCCTACAAAGAGGGAAATACATGGGGTCAAGGTGATATAGTTGCCCAGAGTTCAAGACCCCAGAAGTCCCAGCCCCAAAGACCTCAATCCTACTTCCAGGACTCCCAAGCACAGTTGGAAACATCAATGCAAAAATTATAGGCACAGGAGAGGCCAAGGGGCTACAATAGGCATCCATGGTGGGCCATGGTCCAGGAATCAACTTTCTGCAACACCATGTTCCAGTGGAACTCTGAGGAGTGAAAATCTGGCTCATTAGGTCATTTGAAAACTTACATGTCATGGCAGGAGGATAGACCATATTTTAACAGTTTGTTAGCTTGCTTTATAATGTTTAAATATTTAAACATACAGTATATAGATCTCCATCTGGGTGCTTGCCTCAGGCCTCATAAATGTTCTGCAGAGGCTTGTATCATCCTACTCACCATTGTACTCAATGTGAAAGGCTCCTAGTGATGAATGTGAAATGTCAGTTGTGAATTCCTTAGTTGGTCTCGATGCTTTGCATAGTGCCCCCAAAGGACAATGTGATTTCTACTGTTTAAAAATGCATTTTTGTTCAACTTGGTGCCCAAACACAAGCCAACTACTTGTTTCATGCTCAACTAAAGAAACAACAATTTGTTTTAGCACTGTTGAGTAGAGGAAAAGCAGAGGGGACTGGCCCTTGAGTGTGCAGCTATACTGGGAGACCGTCTGGCACTGTACTTTATGGGTGGTCTAAGCAGTATTCAGTGCTCAGCTGCTAAATAAAAGGTCAGTGGTTTGAATCCACCAGCAGTTCCACAGGAGGAAAGACCTTGCAATCTGCTCCCATGAAGATTTCAGCCTAGGAAACCCTATGGGGCAGTTCCACTGTCATGTAGGCTCACTACAAGTTGGATTCTCCATGAAGGCACACAACAAGAAATTTTCATCATATGTAACTTTCTACTAACCCAGTAAACAGCAATTCCATTCAAGTCAATCTAGCTACCCTCAGGTACAGTCAGGTATGACAATGACCTAGTCAAAAGAAACAAGATTTCTTCTTCTAACAAATCCTAAGTTTAACAGACCTCATTACCAACAAAGTCTTCTTCATATAATTATTATTAACACTATCATATTTTTGTTGTTGTTAGGTGTCATTTAGTTGATCTCAATTCACAATGACCCCATAGGGTTTCCGGGACTGTAGTCTTTTCTGGAGCAGATTAAAATGGAGCCGCTTGATGAGTTTGAACCACCAACATTTTGATTCACAGATGAGCACTTAACTGATGCATCACCAGGGCTACCATTATCACATTATACCTTTTTTTGTATTTAAATTTAATGGCAATGAATTCTGACTTATTAAGTCATATTAATATTAGATCCCCTTTTCTCCCAGAGGTGACCCTGCTGCTTCCAACCCCACCTCCATCCTGACTTTTCTGGTTTAGATAATTTACTTCTGTTCACATCTTCCCACAGGGCTTATTTTTCAAACTTGATTAAGCTTTCTATAGGATCTCAACTTCTCCACATCACTTTGGAGACTAAACACAAAGTGGATACACTACATTGAGTATAACTGACCCCCAAATTCCACCCAGCATCTTGTTAAAATACAAATTCAGTAGACCTGCTATTCCGTTTACTAAAAAGCTTCTGATGGTGACAATGCCGGTGGTCCTGGGCCACACTCTGAGTAGCAAAGTGCTGCAAGATTTCATCACAGAGAACAGAAAAACAAAAACAGCAGTGCCTGTCCTACTCCCCCAGGTCCCACTCCCCACAGGTGATCATTTTTTGAGCAGTAAACTTCATACTGATACTGGAGTTTCTTGATTTAAAAAATTTTTTTAGACATTTAACTCTTGAATTCATTCCACAAAGGAGATCAAGCTATGGCTCTCTTTTACCAGCTTTCCATACAATAATTTTCCAAATCTTTACAATATTGTTATAAACTATATCTTGGTTTAACGAATGTACTCAATGTTTACATTGCTATGATTATTGCTAACAACTGAGACATGGAGCCTACTGTGATTGTATTTCCAGCCTTGAATTGCTTTTCATTTTCCTTGGATTTAATAGTTGCCTCAATTTTTCATTTGATTTTTTTTATCATGTTATCTGTCACTAATGTAGCCCCCAACTTTCCTTCAGAACTAGAAAAAATTTTTCACAATATAGTCAAATATACCAATTTATGAATTCTTTTTTTTTTTTCCTGGGCACATCCTAATGAAACCCTTTATCCTCCTCCTGCTCCAATTTGTACTGGTTATCCTCTGATGCTATCACAGAATTTTTTTTTGAACCTTCCTCCCCCAGCATCCTGGGAAGCCCCACCCCTTATCCTGACTGTCTACCAGTGCCCTTGTGCTCAACTCTCCTCTATTTTCCAGCTTCAGAGGAGCTTAGTCCTTCCAACCCCTGAGGACTAAGGCACAAGGGCCTCTTATTGTTGTTACCCTCGTTCCACACTCCCCACCTCCCTCTCTCTCCCTCTCTCTCCCTCTCTGGGGCATTGAGCTCTCAGGTTTTACTTTATGGTAAAGTATATAAAACTCCAGCTGTTACTTTATTGGAGTTTCTGGAGAAAGCAGAGGAAAATGGATATATTCAGCTACCATGTTTAAGCAGGAAAAAGTCTCGCTTTCTTTTTAAACAAATTCGTTGAGACATCAAGACCTGTTTCTATTACAAATACACAGAGATGGCTTGTTTTTATTAATACTTGGTAAATCAAAAATATCAATTTTCAAAATTTAAAAACAAACAAGAATGATTTGTCTAAAGGTGAACTGAGGAAAATATATTGGCTTTTTTTTTTTACAAAAAAACATATTGTTCATGGAAATGAAGGTATTTTTCAAACCTTATATATACTTTAAATAAATTTTAAAATGAGGGATTGCAATCAATCTGTCACGAATCTGTTTTTGTCACGAAACAGAATGTGAATGAATTGTTGAATGGAAAAACAATTTACTCTATAAACTTTCACTCAAATCACAATAAAAAGTTAAAATAAGAGTGCAATCAAAAAGGAATGTTCAATAAGAGGGGATGTTTTGGAGCATATCTATTTATAGGTTTATTAATATTTATAGAAACAGGCCTAATCATAATAGATAACAGACATGCATTTGTAAGATAAAAAAATGTTTCTTTCTCTCTTAGGGCTGTCACATGGTGACAGAAGAACTTCATTCCATAACCTTTGAGACGCAGATCTGCCTCTATGGCCTGACCATCGATTTGGAAGTATGTGTTTCAAGGAACATCTATCTACCACTTACTAATAATATTTTCAGGAATACGTCCGCATTTATAGATGAAATCCTACTCTTTTCTAGGCTTTCTACATCACCTAATCATTATTTTTTACTTAATGTAGACAAGCAGCATGTTAAATATTCACTAAATAGTCAACATACTTTTTCTGGTTAAATTACTATACATCATAAAATTGCATGGGTATTATAAATTTGCTGTATATTGAATAATATGTTGCCTAGCTGGCATTTTTCTGGGATTTCCTGAGTCATGGACACTCTCTGTGGAAGGCCCACAGAGAAATGAATGTTCTTGAGCCATGTCATGGAGTGGTATAGTTTCAGTTCATGACTTCTACATAAAAATCTTCGAGAAGAAGATTTTTAAATGTAATGAGAAACGACAAAAGATAGGAACATTAATGGTACATTTGTTAATGAGAAACGACAAAAGATATGAACATTAATGGTACATTTGTTTTGATCCTCTTATAGCAGTTACCACTAAGCCTGAAGAAGAAGAAAAAAAAAACTTCGCAACTAAGTTGAACATGACTGACTGTGAATTCCTTGAAGGCAGGAAATCATGTTGCATTTATTATTCAATTGCCAGTGCCTAGAACAAGTCCTGACACACAGTAGAGATTCAGTATTTGTTAAGTAAACAAATGAGCAAGTGCATGAATGAACAAACAAACATGATCTCACACACTCTGAATCTGACTCTACTTGTGGTGAACAGTTTAAGCTCTCAGCTGCTGACTGAAAGGTTGGTGGTTTGAACCCACCCAGCAGCTCCATGGGAGCTCTGGTAGCGTAGTGCCTAAGGCACTTGACTGCTAACCAGAAGGCTGACGGTTCAAACCCACTAG